TTATAGGTAAGGGCAGTTCTAATCACAGACCCAACTGCATTCATACGAAATAGTCTGTTTCTTTCTGCCTTAAAACCCTTTGGGTCATCCCCCCACCATGGAATGGGGCACTTTTATTCAATTAAAAGCATGTTCAGGCCGATGTCATTTCTTCTCAATTATTTTCTTAATGGCATCTGGGAACTTGTTGGCTGCTTCTTGGTTGAGAAAAGATGCTTCTGTTATCTTGACATTTGTTCTTTCTAAAATTATTCAACCACCTATTGCTGGCATTAAATCCACCAGCTTAAGAATCTTAACCTTCTTTTTGCATTAAGTTGTCATATAACAACTTCACTTTTTCTTGAATCATATTTGAGTCTATACATAGACCATTCCTACAGCAATTCTGCACTCACATGAAAGCTGCATTTTCAAATGAGATATTTTGCAAAACATACAAGGTTGTAGCTGCCACTATGACTTCATACATTTTTTATTTTCTTTATATTTTATTTTAAAGATGTGGGGCACAAGTCAGGTTTAGGTACATAAGTGGTCTATATACAGATGAAGTTTGGGCCTCCCACTGGCCCTCACTTGCCCTGGTTTAGAATCAAGTGCCCTTAATGATGTTATAAGCCCCTCCCCTCCTCTTCCCTGGCAGTATCCCACCATTGCTGATCTCTGTCTTGTAGTATTGTGATAAATGTTCAGGACTCACTTATGAGTAAGAACATGTGGTATTCAGTTGTTTCTGTGATAGATCACTGAGTATGATAGACTCTAAGTCCATCCAAGTTGTTGTGAAGTCCATAATTTTGTCCTTCTTTATGGTTGTGACTTGATACATTTATAAGTTAAGCAGTTTATCTGTTTGTTTCAAATTGTCTCAAATCTCCAAAACAAATTTCAATATATGTATTGAAAAAAAATTCATGTATAAGTGGACCTGCACATTTCAAACCTGTGTTGTTCAGGGGTCAGCTGTACTGCCATGTACCACCAACACTGTCAAAATAAGAGAAAATTTTCAATGCCCCAAAATGTTCCCTCGTACTTTCGAAATCAGACTCTTCCCCCCACCCCAGCCCCAGACTTAAGAACCACTGATCTGCATTATTTTACTCTAGTTTTGCCACTTTTTCATATAAATAAAATCATACTGTTTGTCATCTTCTGTAATTGACTTCTTTCACTTAGCATGTTTTGAATATCCTGTTTTTGCTTATATTCATAGGTAATTATTTTATATTGCTATGTAGTATTTCATGTTAATGATATATCAGTTGATTATTCTGTTCATGGACATTTTAGTTTTATTGCAGGTTTTTTTCCCCCTCATTGTTGGCTTTTTAAAACAAACCTGCTGGGGACATGCAGTGATAGTATTTCTGGGGCATGTTTGTGTTCTTTTGGGGATATACCTATAGGTAAGATTCCCAATCTATATGGTATGTTACCTTTAAAACTGCTACATTGTTTTCTGTAGTTTTACTGCTTTACATTTCCACCAGTACCGTATCAGAGTTGCAGCTATTTCACATCGTTACCAACTTGGTATTGAATTTAGCCATCCATATAACTATGGCATCTCATTATACTTTCAACTTGGTTTTCTTAATGACTAGTGATGTTGACCATCTTTTTATATGCACATTTTCATGTTTTTTCTTTTGATGAAGTATGTCAGTTCTTTTCCCCATTATTCTCTTGAACAGAAAATTTGAATTTTTTTTTTTTTTTTAAGAGTAGGGGTCTCACTCTGTCACCCAGGCTGGAGTGCAGTAGCATGATCACAATGATCATGGCTCATGGCAGCATCAGCCTTCTGGGCTCAGGTGATCCTTCTACCTCAGCCTCCTGAGTAGCTGGGACTACAGGCACACCCCACCATGTCTGGCTAAGTTTTTTCATTTTTTTTTGTGGAGACAAGATTTTGCTATGTTGCCCAACCTGGTCTCAAACTCCTGGGCTCAAGCAATCTGCCTACCTTGGCCTCCAAAAGTGCTAGAATTACAGGCATGAGTCACTACACCTGGCCTAAAAAATTTAGTAACATTCAGCATATAATTTGTATTCTATGGTTTGTTTTCTACATAAAATATATTTGCCTAATGTGATCTATGTTTTTTTTTTAATTTTCTACATTAAAGTTTATGACCATTTAAAATTAATGTTTTGAGTGAAAGGGTCTTCTTGTATTTTTTTTGTTGTTCAGAACAATGTATTATCATCAAATAGCTTTCTTCTCAACTTTTTTGAAGAGATCTACAAGATTGTTGTGAGTCTATTTCTCAATTCTCTATTTTCTGTTGATGTGTCTGTTCACCCTTTAACCAGTACTACACTCTCAATTACTATACCTTTGTATGTCTTGAAATCAGATAGTTTTTCAAATGTTTTCTTATTTACAAAATTTTTTTGGCTATTAGTCGGCCCTTCACATTTCCATATAAATGTTCATAACACATTTGTCATTTTTTAATAAAAAAGACTGGTGAACCTATATATCAATTAGAGGAGAACTGACATCTTATAGTATTAAGTCTTCAGATTTTGGAACTTCTTGTGTCTCTCCATTTATGTATGCATTCTTTAATGTCTCAGCAATGTTTCATTTTTCATAGTTCTTGATCATATTTTGTTAAGTTTATTTTTAAATGCTTTATATTTGTATGCTATTGTGAAGGAATTTTCACTTGCCAAGCACTCATTTGCTAGCTATACCCCAGCCTTTTTATCCCAGATCCTTGGAAAACTCAATCATTAGATCTAGTAACTTTTTAGTAGATAATTTAGAATTTTCAGCATAATCATGTCACATGTAAATAAAGTCTTGGTTCTGTATTTATAATCTTTAGATGATATTTTAAATAATGATAAGTGATGACATAGTTTATTATTCCTAATTTTGGGGAAAAGCATTCAGCTTAACAAATACTTGTATATCAAAAATATGCTGTCAGCTGTTGTTTTTCATAGATGCCCTATATCAGGCTGAGGAAATCACCATCTAGTCCTAGTTTGCAGAGTTTATCAATAACCTAGTTTTGAATTTTATAAAATGCTTTTACTACATCTTTTAGATGATTTCTATTTGTCTGTTAATATAGATTGCATTAATAGTTTGAACTCAAAAGAAAAATTAAGAAAAGAAAAATGAATTGTTGAATCAACCTCACTAGGTTATGATTTATTATTGCTTGTATATGTATATGGCTGGCTTCAAGTTGCTAACATTTTAAGGTTGTCTATGTTCATGTTATTATTGGTCTGTAGTTTTATTTTAATATTATTGCCTGCTTTTGGTATCATGCAAATGTTAGCTTTCATATAATTAGTCAGAAAGTGTTCAAACTTTTATCTTTTTGGAAACTTGTATACAACTGGTATTACTTCTTCCTTAAATATTATATTACAATTCTTACATGTTCTAGGGATGACCCTCAGCTGATTCTATCAAGAAAAAGGTATCTCAGTTCTACAATCACAAAGAGCTAAAATATATCAACAACTTAAGCAAGAGACAGAAGAGTACAATCATGCCTATACCTCAATTCTAAAGCAGTAAGACCCATGCTGTACTTACAACCAGCAGAACTGTAAAATAATACATTTGGGTTGTTCAAGCTGTAAGTCTGTGGTACTTTCTCAGGACAGCAACATAAAGCTAATACATCAGTATTATTCTATGAACATTTCTTTTCTTTCCAGTGCATTATTTCCTAGGTTCATGTATCTTTTCTGCCACAACCAGGGAGAAAAGGTTCTTGTCTAAGGAGTTCTGGTTCCTTTTATTAAAAAATTGTATTTATAAAACAGTAAGTAAGCCTTATGTATACTCAAAGCTACTGGAATGCCACTGCTTGCTAGGCTGTCTCAGAAGAGCTAAGGGATATATACACAGTATCTATATATATAAAATTCTTTATCTGTATTTAAATCTATGAATATTTTACAAGATTTAATATTTAAAAAGAGTTATATGACTCCAGTAGCATATTCCAATAAGGCTTTTATTTAAAGGCAAAGATATGGCACCATACAAAAGAATGCAACATCAAATGTACAATCAGTCAAAGAACTAATGTTAAACTGGACTTCATGAAAATTAAGAAAAATATGTTCTAGGAAAGAAATAAAAACAAAAGTCACAGATTGTGAGAAAATACCTAATAGAGAACTGTATCCAGAAATGAACTCCTGTGCTCAGGCAATCCTCTTGCCTTGGCCTCCCAAGGTGCTAGAATTATAGGCTTGTGCTGAGCCCCAACTGAATTTTTTAAAAACAAGCAAAAAAATATAAACAGACATATCACTAAAGAAGATACACGGGTGACAAATAAGCACACTAAAAATACTCAACACTGAGTCAACACTGAAATGCAAATTAAAACCACAATGAAATACTACTATATTCACTAAAATAGTTAAAATGAATGGTCCAAGACTACATATATATAAATTATCAGTTAGGATGTGAAGAAACTGAAAATCTAACATACTCCAGAAGGAAATGTGAAATGCATAATTATTTAAAACACAACTTTTCAGTTTCTTAAAGTTTTAAACATTCAGACCAACTTTTACAACATGATTGTGAAGAGCTCTGCAGACCTGTTCTCCAGCCAAACTCAAGGCAATTATAAAAACACAATTTAAGATCTTTGGAAATGATCCTCAAAGTATACAGCAAATGAAGAAACATTTATTCAAGAAAATCTAACAGTAGCATCCAGAGTCAGTTGCATTTGTGCCAAGACCACTCCCTCTTTCCCCAAACTCCAAATTCATCAAGATTGAAACTCCACTCCAGACTTGGGCAGCCAAAAGCAGGGCTCCCTCTCCCTGAAACTCCCAGGCAGAATGCTATCTTCTCAGGTAGGGCATTCTGTCAGAAATTCTCATCCCACCCCCATTGTACATATTTAGATAAATGAGTTTCAATTGCTGGTTCCCTCATAAAGGTTACTCTCAGGATTTCTGTTCTAAGTCAGGTTATGTTGATTAGCACTCACCCTGCACTCCTAAGGCCTTTCTCCAGTCTGAACTTTCTAATGCTGAACAAGGTTAGATCTTAGGCTGAAGTATTCTTCCATACTGCTGCATTCATAAGGCTTTTCCACTCTGTGAACTCTTCAGTGTCGAGTGAGGTTGGAAGTGTGGCTAAAGATTTTCTCATATTTGCTGTATTCAAGACCTTTCTCCACTGTGAACTTTCTGGTGTTGAATGAGCTTGAAACGCTGACTAAAGGATTTTCCACAATCACTGCACTCATAAGGCATTTCTCCAGTGTGAATCCTCCGATGTTTAACAAGACTGGAGCTGTGGCGAAAAAATTTCCCACATTCCCTGCACTCATAAGGCCTTGCTCCAGTGTGAACCCTCTGATGTTTAATGAGGCTGGAATTCTCACTAAAGAATCTTCCACATTCATTGCACTTAAAAGGCTTTTCTCCAGTGTGAACCTTTCGGTGTTGCATGAGGCTAGAGCTTTGGCTAAAAAACTTCCCACATTCACTGCACTCGTAAGGTCTTTCTCCAGTGTGAACTCGCCAGTGATTAATAAGGCTGGATTTGTGGCTATAGAATTTTCCACATTCACTACACTTATAAGGTCTTTCTCCAGTGTGAACTCTCTGATGTTTCATGAGGCTGGAGTTGAAGCTAAACAATTTCCCACATTCACTGCACTCATAAGGCCTTACTCCAGTGTGGATTCTGTGATGTTGAACAAGTGTGGAATTATGCCTAAAAGCTTTTCCACATTCACTGCATGTAAAAGGCTTTTCTCCAGTGTGAACTCTCCGGTGTTGAATGAGGTCAGCATTACGGCTAAAGGATTTTCCACATTCACTACACCCATAAGGCCTTTCTCCAGTGTGAACTATTTGGTGTATAAAAAGGTTAGATTTATGGCTAAATAATTTGCCACATTCACTGCATTCATAAGGCTTTTCTCCAGTGTGTAGTCTCTGGTGCTGAACAAGTAAATATTTCTGACCAAAGGCTTTCCCACATTCACTGCACTTGTAATGCCTTTTACCAGCATGAAACGCCTCCCCACTTTGGGGGCTCCTATGTGACTCTTCTCCATTCTGAGTCACCTGGTGTTTGAGAAGACCCAAGTTGGTTGGAAAGTCCTTCTCACCCTCCTTGTTTTGCAAGGGTTTCTCTGACAGGTGGACTCTGAAGCCCCTCAAAACTGGGACTCTGTTCTCTTCTAAGAGTTTCTCTCCACAGTGCAGCTTTTGAGATTGGTGAACATTTGAAATGAGCACCCCTTTTACAGAAGCACTCTGCTCAGGTGCCTCTTCAGCCTCTGCTCCATGCCAACAACCTGAAGAAGAGAAATGCTAATGAAGAGTGTACAGACTTTGGTGTGAGGAGGCAGCACCCTCACAAATGTGCATCTGATACACCCAGTAATGAGACCCTCGGTATGCTGACAGAATGAGGGGGCCGGCTCAGGGTAGGGGAGGGTCTGCTGTGCAGTAATGAACTAGCAAGTTCACAGACTGGGGGAGGCCTCATGAACACCAAGGACACAGGATGAAGTGCAGCACAGGGAGGAGAGGTCGGGCCCCCAACACACTCCTCTGCAAATGGCTTCCCACAGGGCCTCAGCTGCTGGAGACACAAATGAACAGTCCAGCAGGGTGTGCCCAGGCCCAGAAAAACTGACCCCAACTGAATAGCTAGCATTCAAGAACTATACAAAGATAAGTATACGTCTCATATTCAGTGAAAGCCACTGCTGTAGGATGCTGCCAAGGACAAACATGGAGGACAAAAAGGGGCAGAGTAGCCCTGGGTCAAAAATCAAATAGAAATAAGTGGACAGCCAAGGAAGAAAAGATGGAAATCAGAGATGGCCACTTGCGTTGGCATTAAAACACCAGGGCCCACTAGAAAGACTCCTGGCAAGATTTAAACTCATCCCTCAGTTCATATCACCCTCCAAGTACCTCTTGGCATGACTGAAGTCATAACTACCCAAGCAAGCATGAAGGGTTCTCCCTAAGAATCCAGGTGAGATGTTTCATGGGTCCTGGAAGATGCAAGTTCTAAGGGAAAGGCAGGACAGGTGAGTGTCCAGTACTGGGCCAAAGTGACCTACCCCACGACAGACTACAGGGAAAAAAACCTAAATAGTACAAAAATAACTTTGGAGGAGGGTCTTGCAGGAGTAGCCCAGCCACACAGCAATCATGTTAGTGCCTGGCACAGGCAAAACCCAAGGTATGTCAGCTAGAGGAAGTGGGCAGATACTGGGGACACAGAACTACTACAGATCTGCACAGCATCACCAGATCACAGAGACCAACAGGGTAAGATTCATTAAGCTGACTGCAAGACACTGACCCCTAAACCCTTTTTTGCATGGCTTTGGGGCAGCTTGGGGAGAAGGCAGTAATATATACAGCCCAGGCCCTTCACTTACTGTGCCTATTCCAAAATACTGGAGAAGGAAGCAGTGCCCATGGTCCAGCTTTGGGAAGGACAGCCTTATCTCTAGGAAAAGGAGAAAGAGCAGAGTCCAGCCTGGTATGCTGAAGTGGGGTGTGAGGACCTTACCTAGAGAGGCCATAAGTGAAAAATTCTCCAGCATCACACTACGGTATAGCAGCCTCTCAGCTTCGTTGAGTAGTCTCCACTCCTCCTGGGAGAAGTAGACAGCCACATCCTCGAAGGTCACGCAGCCCTGCCAAAATGGGGAGAGTTGAATGTATATGCAGTTTCCTTCCCTGGGATTCTAGGCATGCCCCCAAATACCCACCCCTGCTCACCCTCTTCCTCAATCCTCTCCTCAGAGGAGACCAGACTCTGGGACCACTGATGCCCACTCTCTCCTCACGGTTCCACTGACCACTGTATCCAACACTCAGCAACCATGGACAGGTGGGCAGATAAGAGTCCATCTCAGCTCTGAGTATGCAAAGCCCCACACTTCTCCTGCCAGACAACTGACCTGGAGTTCCACAGATTGTGCTTCTCTAAAACAACCAAATTTGGGTCACTGTTCTCACTTAAGGCCCCAATACAAGGGCCCTGTGGCCATCAGTTTACTCTCCCTCTTAACGTTCACATACTCTTTGTACCACATCCACTGCTCACTACACATCATATGCTTCTCCTTGGCTTTACCACATGCCAGAACACAGGATGCTACACATGGCATCCAGAAAGCATTTGCCAAATACAATCAGAACCTCACCCCATCCCAGACCTCCACAGCCTTGTCTGCCAGGGTCAACCTTCAAACCCTGCTTTAAAGCCCTGCTTCCTACTTGACTCTTTTCCTTACTTCATCTTCAGTCACCTGGAATTGCACACATATTTCAGATACCCTTGGCACTCTTCCATTTCTGTGTTGCAAAGCTGTTTCCTCCCAACATCAGCTTTCCTCTGACTCTCATTCAAAGCCCAGGCTTGTTTTTCTCTCAATCTAGGCCTAGCAATTCTCTCATCTTCTCCCATTTGATCTTGAGCTAATCCAGCAGCCTAAGATCAGCAAAGATCAGAACAAAAGCCTGGTGATCCCACAGCTAGATAAATAAGCTGTGGTGTTAGTCCTCCTGTCATCTTACCTCACTTATGGCTTTGTCTCCATGTCTGTCTCAGCCAGACCCTCCTTACCCCTAGACTTCCTTCCCCATGGCCACCATTCTCCCTCATGTCCTTGTGAAGCCCAGAACTCCCAACTAGGTGTCCATGTAAGAAGCCCAGCCCTTGGTCCATATTTCCCATCTTGTTACTTAACAGCATTGCAACAGAACCTAAAGGTGCCCTCTCCTAAATCCACTCCAAAGCTCCATCCCAGTTTACACATATCATGTGGGTCTCCAATCTGAACACTTCAACTGAATTCCAGAATTGTGTCCAGTGCCCAATCAACAAATCTACTCAAGGACCTGGAATATCTCATTTCAACAATATTCCCACTGAAAGATACTCTTACCACCAACTTTCACATGGTGACACTACCCTACTTCTGGCAGCTGAGACCAAACATCTCCAAGTCCCTCCTGACTCTCCCACCATACTTTCAAAAACATGCTCAGACCTGCTTTAAAAAGATTCCAAGCACATCTACTACCTCTACAGCCACCACTCTGGTCCAGCACTCACCTGGACTACTGTAGTAGTCTCTTTGCTGGTCTCCCTTCTTGTACCTTCAACTCTACAATTCTCTACTCTGCAGCAGAAAAAGCTTGTAAAGACTGTCAGATCACTTTCCTCTTATGCTCCAAACCTTCAATGGCTCCCACCACCCTTAGAACAGCAGTCCACCTTCCCAGGCTACCTCCTGCCTCCTGCTGTTTCTGCCAGACATAATGGAGGTCTAAGGTTGCCTAAGCATTCCTAGCACAGTCTCATTTCCAAGCATTTTCTCATGTTGATAACTGTGACTGTAACACCTTCTAATCCTCACACCATTGGTTGCCAGAAACGGGAACCTGACTTTGTGTGACCACCTACCAGGGAACTCAACTGGAAAGGTAGGGAGAATAACAAGTAAGGAAACCCAGGACACAATAATCCTGAGACCATGTAGGTATGAACTGAGGAAGATGCACAGTTGGGACATCCTCTACTTATTTCTGCATAGTCTATAAGTATTTCTGCAGCCACGGAAGCCCATGGAAAAACAAGGCTGTGGGAAGCAAGCAGTTATACTGGCAAAAGACCATCCAAGCCTTCTCACCTACTCTGAAAGTGAGAGGGCTTGGATGTCACCCACTGGGGCTTTGGTCCTCAGTGATGTCTCTTACCAGCTATGTGCCCTTGGACAAGTGCTCAACCTCCCTGTACCTCAGTGTTTTCATCTGTAACATGGTAATAATGGTGTTCACTTAATAGGACTATTGTCTGCATCAAACTCATTCCTATGTGTCAAGCACTAAGTATCAACTCTTATTATGTATATAATTAATGCTTCTGTCAACATTTGCAGTGCAAATTAGCTGGTAGGTTTTTAAAATGTGGGGCTTTTCCCCCATTATTTTAAACTAAGAATGTGATACTTTTTGGGAAGGAGGGGAGTCGGAGTCTACCTCTGTCACCTAAGCTGGAGTGTAGTGGCATGCTCATGGCTACTGCAGCCTTGACTTGCTGGGCTCATGTGATCTTTCTGCCTCAGCCTTCCAAGTAGTTGGAACTACAGGCATGCGCCACCACAACCAGCTAATTTTTTTTATTTATTGTACACCATGTTGCCCAAGCTGGTCTTAAACCCCTGGGCTCAGGCAATCCTGTCATCTCTGCCTCTCAAAGTGCTGGGATTACAGGCATGAGCCACCGCACCTGGCAGAATGTGATACTTATGTTGTCTGATTTTAATAAAATACTTAACAGTATACTAAGTTTTCAACCAATTATTAAGTGCTTACATCAATTTAGCTTATTAAATCCATGTTGTTTTAATGGTCTCTGTGTGTCTATAAACTATGATTAATTAGTACTTAAATAACTACTTAATTCTTAAATGCACAAGTTAATATTTGGGAGTCTGTGTCAGAGAAACCTGAGTAGATAGCAGTCCTTTTGGCAACCTGGCTGCAGGCTATACATTCCCCTGAAGGCAATCCTGCCAAGAGCCCTTACATTAAAGCAGTTGATCATTACTCCTGCCATGAAGACTGGGGGAACTTAGACACCAAAGGGGCTGCTCCCCTAGCCTGGCTAACCTCTCCTTTTCTCCACAGGGATTGGACATGAAGACTTGCTAAGCCTGGAGTGGCAAATCTACACCACCCAACGCTCCAGCTCTGGGTCTTTATACCCTATAACCCTCCATCTCTGCATAACCAGACAGAATCACTTGGACAACAGCACTCCACCCTCTAGAGACAGCCCCACCCTCTAGGCCCATCTCTCCCTTCCCTCACCTCAGGGCCCAACTGAAATAAAAATCTTAAGATTCTCTCTCCTAAAAAGGAGCGCAGGCCTTGCCCTGATCCAGGCCTCCATCCACCACCCTCTGGCAATCTCCAGTTCAGATTCCTTCCCAGAATTTCAGGTTTGAGTGAACACTGACATTCCCAGCTCCACCCTTCCAGATATTCAGGAACAAAAAAATACAAACCTAGACTGGTCCTTCATTCCCACTTTCTTTCACAGAAACATCCGACGCGGCAGGAAGTCCTGTCTGTTCAGTGTGTAAAGTTCATCCGAGATCTAATCACACCTCCTCTCTATGGTCTAGTCCCACCAGAACTCTCCATTAGTCTACCGAATGTACCTACTCACAGGTCTCCTTGTCTTCACCTTCGTCACCCCCACCTCAATCTGTTTTCCCCTTAGGAAAACCCAGAGAAACAGATCGAGTCACTCCTCTGTTCCCCACCCTCCGAGGCCACCAGCCTCCGCAGAATGAAGGCCCAGCTGCTCAGGCTGTCATTCCGCATGCGACTCGTTTCCTCACAAGCTGTCCACCAGACACGACACAAACCTCAAATTTAGGATATGAGCTCAGGCCTTCAGAACACAAGACGGTCCCTCTGCCGGCTCCACTCTCCCACACCACACCGGGTGTCAGAAATGGGGCCCACCCACGAGTGCCCCGCTGTTTGGGGCCCGAGGCTTGGGCAGACAGCCCTCACAGGGCTTTAGGATTAGGGCGAGGGCTAGAGCGGATGAGGCCCCGAAGTACTCACCAGACTCACCAGAGCCGGGTCCCTCAGCGCGGCCGCCGCCATCGGACTCTGTGAGCCGGGGGGGGGGGGGGGCTGGGAGCGACGACCTAAGCAGGGCCTGGGGCGTTCTGGGCGGCGCCGAGCCTCAGACCCGCCCCTGAGCGGCAAGAACAATGTCTGCCGCCCCGTCGCGCCTTCCTGCTCTCGTCGCCTCAGCGCAGAAGCAGCTTGTTCAGGTGAACGCCGGCAGAGGCGGCGAAGCCGATCGCCACTAGGGCGACGCCGGAAGTCCCGCCCGGCGCGTCTTGCACGCACGGAAAGACCTACTTTAATTGGCCGAGCGTCACTGCCGCGCGGCAGTGGGTATTGAAGTTCCCACAGCATAGCTACGAAGATGGAGATGGAGGAGGGTTGACGAATCAAGGTCAAGAACTTTTGTCGGATCGGACATATTCAGAGACTGAAGTAACTGGTGATGGGCCTGGATATCAGTTTTCACTGCCCAGCTCCTACTCCAGTCTTTCCTGTTCTTAAAGGACTTGAAGGGGATCTTCAGGGACACAATAAAGTGGTTTCTTTGGGCTGAACCATGTATACATTATCACATTTCCCTTGACAAGGGGATGCCCAATATTAAAGTCAGCAATGGTGAAGCAATACCTGATGTGTGAGAATAAGAAAAGGTTCCACACCTCATCAACAAGGGTACGTACATAATGAATATTTTTAAAATTAAAAATTAAAAGAAGAAAAGGCTCCAAATTCTGGATGTAGTCGTAAGAGAATTACAAGTATTTACTTTCTTCTTCTATCCCACACTAATTTGTGCCCTTTCTCTTCTCAAGAATCCAACATAATAGACCTCAAACTCATAAGCCAACATTCCTCTACCCCTTAGGTTTCTCCCCTTCATCCTTTCCATTGCATGTTCCCACTGCCCTTCCATTTCTAAATACAAAGTCAACTTATCACAGGTGGGTAGAATGCTGGACTGTTGACAACACAGCTGTTAATAAAGGGGATGCCAGTCCTTGATTATGTGTTGTCCCTCTACTGCTCCTACCATTGACTCCAGTCCTTTTGTTTCAATCTAATTTCTGTAATTCTACTCTTGCCCCTTCCATTTTTAGACTGAGCAATGACCAACTTCATCACAGCCTCATGACTGTGGGATGATTCATGAGGGCAAGAGATGATGAAGCATCCCCTCCTTGAAACTTTCTGGAGCTGGTGTTTAGTACTAGCTGATTCTGAAAATGAGGAGGAGAGTCAATGTTGGAATTGAGAATATGATAGGATAGAGAGAGACCCAAGTTTTTTGTCAGTTCCACAGTGGCCATGGTTTTTTGTTAGTTATTTCAGTCAGACCAAATTATGGCATGCAGAAGGGAGGGAAAGAGGACTGTGAGCAGAGATGAAACCACTGACTGGAGTGGAATTCACTGAATGTATAGATAAATTCCTCCTTCTTAAGCCAAGCACAGGAAGATATGTTTTACCTCCTTGAGCACATCTCTTAGAAGAGTAGATTCTGGGTTCTTCACCTAATAGATTATAGGCAGTCATAAAAATGACCTAACCATCATGACATGAACCTTTGTGGATGAATCTAACAAACATGTTACAGAGTCTAGTCATGCATACAGTATAATACAACCTATAGAAAATTCAAAATCTGGTAATAAGAAGCAGTATATTATATAGGGAAATCTATAAAACACCAATGAAATGATCACCAAAATGATTAACAAAAATGTCATGCACATGTTAGCACTATGGGATGTGTCAGGCATGTGAAGGGATGTGAAGAGAAAGGATGCCTGAGAAACTTGTGTTTTATCATGGGTAGTTGTTTCATAGATGTGTTTTTAATTTACAAACAAACAGTATACCACTTATGAGCTTTCTACTGAATGTGTGACAGTTTTTAAATAGAGAAAAAGTTTATGTAGACAGTTTAATTTTGTCACATAGGTTCAAACAGATTCATATATATGTGTAGAATTGCAAATAACATAATAAGTGAGGAAACAGCAGACTGTTCAATCATTTAATTTAGGTAGAATGATTACCTACATAGGAAATTTTCATATATCTCATTGAATTCACAAAATACATTCTGTGAGGCTATAAAAAAAAACCAACAACATATTCTGGGTCTATAAGTTTTGTCTATAACCTCTGGAATCCATCTTTATTTCCAGCCTTTATAAATATTTCTATGTCTATAAGGAGTAGAAACTTCAAAGTTTGAAGCTCAGACTCAAAGTTTGGCCAGAACTCCTTCAGGACTGGAAAGCAAACTATACAGTGTTTGGGAAGCCTATCTTATGCCAAAGGGCATGACAGGCAGATTCTCCTCAGGACCCAGCCACTGGTCAACCTTCAATATGTAAGCTGCTACAGGAAATGAGGGAAGGCAAAGGACCATAACTAACCAAACAAATTTTGTTGAACTATCCTGGCCTTCCCAAGGTTAGAGCTTAACAGAATGAATCGCCATCCAGCAGCTCTGGAAACAGTGCTTCCACTGGATACGGCCATCTGGACTTTAGACACTTGAAGTCAGAACCCTTCAGCTAGAAAGTCAGGACTAAACTTCCCATCTGAATTATCCTTAGAAGCAAAAGTGAAGAGGGAGGTGAGACCACAGTTTGGGAAAATAGATATTGTCTCAGGAAAGAAATACTTCAGAAGGGCCATTCTGCTCCACAGTAGGTAATCAATACTATGACCTGGCATTATACACAAGGACACTATCCCAAGCAGATGTTGCCTTGATGATCATGAACTCTTCTGAAGCTCCAGTGGAACCAAGTAACCAAGGATCATCAAACACCCAGAAGTACAGCTATTCCTGACCACCACAGCCCTCTCCTTGTTCCCACAGATACCCAAGCTTTGAGACTTACCTGGATGTCCTTGCTCTGTTGAATACTGATTCACCAAAAATGACTGAAAATACTAAAAGAACGTTACTTTCTCTGCACATACCACCAAAATGTACGAAAATCTCTCCTCCCAGGCAAAGCCTTAGGCATACTGGTCCGGTTTTGTGGAATTTGCTAAGTCCATACTCCACCTATCTAGGAGCTGAACCTATAATGGTTAATAAAAAACTAACAAACATTTTTAAAATGCCAGAAATTGTTCAAGTATGTGAACATAATGGAGGACAGGAAGGGGAGAAATTGAGGGAATGGCAGTTGAATTGAAAAATGAGTTAGAAATGTTTTAAACTGAGGGCCAAGAAAAGAGCTTTTTCAGCTAAGCTGCATGTGGTTGGCTTTCATGAAGGTGATAATTGAGACAAGAAAAATGAGAAAAAAGCAACCATGAAATACCCAAGTTTAAAAAATTCATGTAAAAGGTAGAGCAAGTGCCAAAGAGATGAGGAAAGAAAAAACTTGGTAAGTCAGAATAATAGGAAGGAGAACACAGTGGCGGGGCCAGAGGATGGGGAAAGGAGTGGTGTGATAACCTGGGCATGATTGTGCATTCAGTGCTCAATTACCAGCTCTTTCCATCTTTCCAATGCTACTTTGTAACCAATTCTTCTTCTTACTCCTGATCCCAGGATCATGGATGTGATTTCTGTCTCCTTGGAGAATTAGGGACACACTTTTCTGGTCATTTAAATGGAATCCAGCAACATGCAGCCCTTTCAATGCGGCCTCATTCACTTATCATAATGCACTTATGATTCCCCTTTACTTTGTGTATCAGTACTTTTTTTTTTAAGTTGGAGTCTCACGCTGTCACCCAGGCTGGAGTGCAGTGGCGGTGGCATGCTCATGACTACTGCAGCCTCGACCTGCTAAGCTCAGGCGATCTTTCCACCTCAGCCTTCCCAGTAACTGGAATCACAGGCACATGCCATCACCTCTGGCTAATTTTTTTATTTATTGTACAGACGAGGTCTTGCCAAGGTGCCCAAGCTGGTCTCAAATCCCTGAGCTCACATAATCCTCTCACCTCAGCCTCCCATAATGCCGGGATTACAGGAATGAGCCACTGGACCCAGCTAATTTTGAAAGAATCTGCCAAATTATTTTCTGAAGTGTATAATTTTTAATTACCATCAGCAATGTATGAGTTTTCCAGTCCTCTATATCCTTGCTCATACTAGTTTAGTCAATATTTTTAATTTTAACCAATTTAATTGATACATAGTAATAGCCTATGCTAGGTTTTATTTGCATATTTCCAGGACTAATGATGTTGAGCAAATTAGCATGAGCTTATTTGAAATTGGTATAATTTCACTGTGGAAATGTCTGTTTAACTCTTTTACTTGTTTTTATTAAGTTATTTGTTGTCTTAGTACTGATTTTTGAGTTATGTGATTTGCAAATACTTTCTCCCAATCTTTGGCTCATCTCTTTAGTCTATTAAGAGGGTCTTTTGAAGAACACAAGATCTTAGTCTTGAGAAAATTCAATGTGTCAATTTTTCTGTTAAAGTCTTGTTTTGGTGTTGTATCTCAGAAATATATGCTTAACATGATTACAAAGACTGTCCTCTGTGTTTTCTTTAAGAATTTGTACCGTTTTTTTTTTCCAGTATTTTTAAGCTATGACTCATTTTTAATTAATTTTTTGAATAGGGCATGCCAAAATGCACAATAAATTGTCAGGAAAAGGGATGACTCAAGGAAAGAAAATGGCTATATAGTATTTTTTTGGCAACACAACTGTGAAGATAATGGTATTATTTATGAAGATGGGAAAGACTGAAGGAAAGTCAGATTTGGGAAAAATAACTGAAGAAAAACAGGTTATTTGAGCACAGATGAAAATTTCTATCAATTCTAGGCAAATTGGAAGGTTCTTTAAAACATTGAGAATATAAGTCTGGAGCTGAGGGTAAATCGAGGCTGGGAAGGAAGGTTTTGTTTTTGTTTTTGTTTTTTCCTCAATGCGGTTTTGGGAAGGTTTTAAAGCAGAAAATATTGGTCAATCTTACTGAAAATTCTCCAGATATTAATTGACCTTGGGATTCAGAAGAAACAACTAGATTTATTATGACGTCAAATTGACTTTGACAGGAGCAATCTCTGTGAT